CAGCATACTTTATTCTGCATCTACTAGGTCGATATGGTGCAAGACGTCGGAAAGAAACGGTCAGGATCCATCGCGTTACTGTGCCAGTGAAGTTCGTAGATCATTCTCACTCTCGTTTTTTTTGCTATTCAGGAAATTGAGCATCACGGAAGCATCCTCGTCTATATCTGAAAATGGGACCGCGCCCATTACCAACCCATCCCCACTACCACGACTAAACCTTGATATTCTGCTCTATCTTATCCGCTTCCTGGATGAAGACGACAGAACTGCCAATGGCCTTCATCTTATACAAACATGCCGCTCATTGTACTCCGCCGGTATTCCGATACTAGTAAGGGACAGCCGCCTGGCCCTTGACATATACGCAGGAAGAGCCCGTTCGCACTTATCCTCTTTTTGTGACTTTTTCGAGTTTGATTCCGGATCTCGTTGTCGCTACATTCGCAACCTCAGCATCATCACGTCGCCCAATGACTGGCCTCGCTACGATCGAAAGCGGTATCGCGGCGTCCTCAGTCGACTAGGGCCTGTTCTCGCCCAATGTACGAACCTCAGGAGCATTGCGCTAGGCAATAACGCCACGCTCTTGTGCGCGCTCATCCCCAACTTCCGAACGGTGTTTGCATCACTTTCTTCCCTCCGATACGTGGAGATGCATAGTCTTGACAATCCGGGTCTGTTACGGTATACCAACATGGCAGGTAAAATCCTGAGATCTATCTGCTCACCCGTTGTTTCGGTCACTGTCAATAATGGAACATCTACCGATCCGGGATGCGAGGAGGACGTTCTAGAGATTGATGGTGCGCTCGGGCATCTCTCGACTTCACTTGAGGTGATGCATGTCGGCCACTTCGTTCTTGAAGACCATGTCGTGGTGGTTTATCCGAATATGAAGGTACTGGTCATCGAACAGACGAGTATCTCTGACATAAGGACGGAACACTTGGTGCGACGGTTTCCATTCCTCGAACATCTCTCATTCGGATCGCTCACAGATGAAGAGAACGATATGATCATGGACTTGTGGGAAATGGAGTTGCGTAACCCCTTGGAGGATGCCCGCACTGTGAATATCTTCACCCAACGTCAACACTGCAAATGGAAGTCCCTGGACTCGGTTCGAGGGGATATCTGCGTGTTGTATGGCCTCGCGTTGATGTGTCCTGTTCGCCAACTTATTCTCCTCAGCTGGTTTGACGGAAATCCATACGACATTCCAATGTGGCATTCCATCATGCGCGATTGTACACCGACTGCTATCAACCTTGGTGTTGATATGTCTTACTTCAGGCCTGAACAACTCGAACTCCTCGTCTATCCTGGAACCAATAACCTCACCCATCTTGACCTAGAACTTGCGTTCTTCGACGCGAAGTTCAAGGAGCAAGTTTTCATAGTAAGCACCTCGTAACATCATGAAATCAGCAAGATCGCTGACAATGATTTTTGTTCAAATTGTCTGGCCAGACTAATCTCACGGCTCTTCTGCAATCAGTGCCGTTGACCTATCTTGATCTCAAGTTAACATTTGAACCTCCTAAACGTGTCCATCATTTCATCCATGATATCGACATGAACACTTTCTCAGCACAATGGCTTGCACACCTCCCTCCTCTCCCATTCATCTGCAACCTGGCAACGTCAATTCGCACTCTTCGCTACCTTGGAGTGAGCAAGAAACTCGATTTGGTTGCCTTGGGAGTTGATACCGAGACCGTCCCGAAGCTGAGCAAAACGTTCTGGGAGATTACGAGGACCGAACGTGATTCTGGGCAAACGATATCGCTGCGACAGCTATCGAAGGAGGCAAAGAAAGATGTGAAGATACGCGAAAAGATGGTCGATGCTGAATGTTTGAAATCGGCCAGACACGACTAAACATCACTAATGTGGATAACAGTGAGTTTCCATTTCTCGAGTCAGGTTCGTGTTGAATCTTGACTCTCGCTTAGCCACCCCCCATCATAACTAGATTACACTGGTGTATAATGGCTAACAGCAATCTATAGTCTTTCGCTCAATTGTCTCTCGGATTGATGAATACAGTTCACTCGCTGCGCCTATTCGAAGCCTCCAACCTATGCTATCCCATCGACGTGGGTTTGTGTTCGCCATTGATCCGCGCAATAAAAAACCCCCACCCCGGGAAACAGATCTACCAGCGGCGTGTCGCTCCAGAGCATACTTTTGAGGCTGCATTTAACGGCTGCCCCCCCCCCCCCTGCAAAATTCGTAGACTGGGTAGAGTACTACTGAACTGTCCTGAAACTCCAGAATTATGATGCAGCTTTGTTGAGCACATGCACCATCGGAACACAAGACATCAACGTCGCTTTGTTTTATTGGTGCGTCGACCGCTAGTCGGAGTGGCCAGGCTGCTTTTGACAGGTCGCTTTCATCCATTCAGCAGACATTTTGGCATGGTTGTGACAATGACATTGTCAGACGGTCAATGGTATACGAGGTGGCGCGATGTGGCGACCAGCCAAATTCGACCTTTACTCTTTGCGCCTTGATAATCTGGTCAAAGCTTTGTTGACCGATTGTCTTAAGCTTTGTCTTAACCTCTCGTCTTCCTTTGTCCAGTGTGGTGGTCGGCGTATAAATACAGCTATCACATCTACACAGCGACCCGGATGTATATCCAGTGTCTTGTTCACTACCAGGTTCGTTCGTCCCTACTCAGAGTTGAAACCCTACTCTAAACCACCTTGAATCTGTATACAACCACTTTAGCTTTCCACGTTCTATCAAGCCCATCAACCATATTTGTATCCGCTCTTTCACCGGCAAGGTCATCATGGTAGAATCGAGCAGTACACGCGTGGACCACCATGTACAACGACTGAATTTCGACACGCTTCTTCACGTCATGGAATTTCTACCTCAGTCGGGCGAATGGCAGCTTATGCGGACATGTCGCTCCTTGTATCTCGGCGGTTGCCCTCACTTCACAAGGCACGTTCGACTACAGTTGGAAGAATCGAATGGCCAGAAAGTGGCGTCCTTCTGTGACTTCTTGGAGGTCGACGAGTACGCACGTTGTCGCTATATGCGTTCCTTGTGCATTTCCGTGGAGGGCTTCCAACGTTACGTCGATCTTGCCCCACTTCTTCCTCGATTAGCTTGCGTACTCCGAAAGTGCACCAGCCTGGCACGTCTATCATTGCATGGTCTTTCCTACTGGTTCCACGCGCTCGTTCCGGAGGTTTTCGAAGCCATAAGTACACTGCCATCTCTCCGGCACATAGATACATATGAAAAGGATAACGATCTCAGACCGGCCCTTATAGTCTTGCAACGTCTATCCCCCTCGTCCTTGGTCAGTTTGAGCCTGCGAAACGGCGGAACCGAGTGGGATCTTAACTATGGCGCGATCGTCCCTTATGATATGGAATCGCTTCCAAAGGAAATAGTATCGTCTCTTGAACTCTTGCACATCCCGAGTTCGGGTTTCAATGCCGCAATGAATGTGATATACCCAAATCTCAAAACCTTCATCACCCAGTATCAATTCAACAATCTCAGCGTCGATCCCTTGGTACACGTGTTTCCGAAGCTCCAGTACGTTTCCTGTGGTCATTTGTCGCATTCCGATGTGTTGTTGTCCGAGCTGCAGACGAATACAAGTCATCAGAGTCAGCATTGGAGGAGCCTCCAAGCAGAACGCGAACGAAACCTTCAGAACCAGGAGATTCGACGTTGGGCGTCCCTCGATACCGTGCGCGCAGGAGATATCTTTGCACTGTATGGTCTTGCCATAAACTGTCCTGTCCGACATGTCCAATTGGGTGGATTCTTGAATGAAGGACAGTTGCCGTTATGGAGAACAGTGCTGCAGGACTGCAGCGCTTCCGCTGCTACCGTTCAAATCACTACGAAAAGTTTCAATCTCGAGGCCCCACCATTCATCATACCGCCTACGGGCCTCATCACACATCTCGATCTCAAGGTCTCCATTGAGAAAGTGCTCTCTCAGGAAGACCTCTTGGTCAGTTCTATCCTATCTTGCCCTGTCCCAAGAAATTCACTAATTGCACCCTCCATCAGGATAACATTTTGCAGCTTGTAGGATCTGCTCCGCTAACATATCTCGCGCTCACAATTGAATGGTGCGGGTATTGGGGACAGTCTCGCTGGGAGGAGGGCTCGAACATTCTTGGGCGAGATTATGTGTTCAGATTCATGCAGCTCGGCAGCTATATCAACAACCTCAAACCATTGGACGTTGCTCAGAAAGTTTCTCGAGCAATACCCAGCCTTCGCCAATTTGGCTGCACCACCTCCGTCAACGAGTTCAATGGGATCTATGATCCCCAATCCCACTTCGAGTCCTCTAATATCGGTCTTAATACCTACGGCTGGTCGACCTTCATCACGATCGAAAGAGGCGACGACGGAGCGATACTCCTTGAAGAGCAACAAGGGAGTTTGCACAAGAGTTTAATACGCCAAGCGCGAATGGTGAACCTCGATTACTATCACTGGGCTTACAACACCGGTAGAAGTAAGTTTGATAACTGGGCTCAATCTGCGTGAATACTGATGGTGGAACTTGAACAATAGCAACACCTTACGACTGATTTGTTTAAGGTCGGTGTGAGCGCGGCCGGTAACGACTACATGATGAAACTCAGTCCTAGTTGCTCACGTTGCCATGATCGTTGTCAAACATCCTCATTACGTTGGACCTTCTCCCGGACATTCTCATATACTACTACGTCTTGGCCATTATAGTAGTAGAGTAGTACAGCCTGAATCACTGCGCTACTCCGCATAAATAGAATCATAGAATCGTGAGCCTATGTAAACCTGTTAATTTTAGACCTGTTCAAGTCCGCGCGAATCCCTTCCTCATATCTCGATAACCCTGAGTTTCGGAATTGAGCTTTGAAGATCTAGAAAGTTATTTCATACCTGGAGGCCATTCAGCGGTTGTTGAGGGAATTCGCTGTGCTGTTGACTCTGACGAGGAGGAACGGCTGTTGTTATAAGGGCATGTGGTGTAGTTGGTTATCACGCTCGCTTAGCATCCGCCGTCAGGCAGTGCTTGCGAGAGGGGTCCGGTTCAATCCCGGACATGTCCATGTTTGTTTCGGTTGTTTTTTTTGGCCTTTGAATTCACACCATTTTAACATTTTCCTTTCGTGCATCCAATTTCATCCAATTGGTCTCAATACTGTATTATTTAGATACATTATATCAAGATTCTACATAGAGATAAAGATTGAAACGTTCAAGTGGATTCAATGAAAGGAGGAACAGTCCGGCCTTCAAATAGCATGCGTGGTGAAGGACGACCAAACGACGGAGAGCTGTAGAATTATACAGGGTCACCAGACATAGAAAGCACCAGTATATCACTGCCCACTCACTTTGCGGGGAGCGTAGTGCTCCTTGAGATCGGCGAACGAGGATCAAAGGTTGAATCATGTACCATATGGGGTACATACATGCTCTGACTTAACCCCAAAGCGTTGTACAACCCAAACGCAGATTGTTCTACGTTTCCTTGAACGAGAGGCTGAGCTGGCATGACTGGTGTGGCAGGAACGGTATCCCCTCCTGTGGTTGTGGGTGCTCTGGTAGTACTTGGCTGAGGCGATCTAATCTGGATAGGTTGATGACAGGCATCGCAGAGATGATGAGACTGTGTAGAGGCGGAACGGGGACTACGCGCATGACTAGCATTGGTCGAGGACGATTTGGAGCTTCTGCCCGAGGTAGAAGCAGAGGCAATACTTGCGTCCCTGCGGCGATCCTCCGTCTGAATCTGAGCATCGGAGTACGTCCGACGGACGGTCTCGCTGGCAACCCCAGTGTGTTCGCCACTGCTATGACTCGCAGCCCTCACCGAACGGTCACGATAGCTTACATAGGATGGACTACTCATGTTGCTGTTGGTTGATTTAGTATTGGAAGCAGTGCGTTCCATCATCTCCACGTTGATTGTTGAGCTTTGAGTAGGCGAGTTAATCCCAGACATTCCGAGTCGGGAACTTTGGCCGCCATGTCTGGAGATTGCTGGGCTGTGGTCATGGACGAGGGTAGGAGATCTTACTGAAGGGGAGGAAGGAGGGGTCACAAATGTATCATGGCCGGATGATTCGGTTGCATGAGATAAGTCAGACAATACCGGGGAGTGCGGTCTTTCGTCAGAGGCGGCAGGTTCTGCGTAAGTGACTTCTGTACGAGGTGACCAGGTAGGGTCGCTACGCCTGGATGCAGCTGGTGAACGAGCAGAGGTAGACCCGGTATTGACTGGTTGAGAGCGTTCTGTCTTCGCTCTAATCTGGGACGCCGTTGTCAAGATGGATCGTGGAGAAAGGTACATGCTCCCCTCAGCCTTGGATGAAGATGCGGTACTTCTCGAAGGTAGTGGTTCAGAAGAAGTCCTTCCCAATGAATGAGAAGTATTTTTGGTCCGCATTTTCTGGTACGACGCCACTCCCTTAGCGGGTGAGGACAACGAAGATGAATGTGCTCTCGTATGGGTACCAGTTTGGTTTGGTGCTTTGAATCCAGTTGCACCACTACTAGTCCTCGTTATTGAGTCAGAAGATGAAGAAGGAGGCGTCCCAGAAGTACGTCCATACACTCGAAGGATAACAGTACCCTCAGACGAAGTCCTTGAAGGTGGCGACGTGAGTAATGGCGCCGGGCCGCCCAGCTTCAGGTTAGACAACGATAAGTCGATTTGCGTGATCTCAGTAGAAGGTGAGGAAAGTGACGAATGTGAAGCAGCCTTCTGTTTCCCCTGAAGCTTAGTGGATATAGTCCCTTTGGGCTGCGTAGCACTCTTGCGCGCACCGGTGCTGGAAGCGGAAGCACTGGTACTCTGCATCCTATCAGGGGAAACAGACGATCGTGCCAAAGCATGCTTATTCGTTTCCCCTGAAGGAGGTGCGGAGCCCGAGGTTTGCGCATGCGCCGTGGGATTCGCAGTGACCCCAGAAGGAGATCTGCGCTGCGACGCAGTTGGACCAGGACGGCCATTTTGGGGAGAGTTATTTTGACGGTTTCCCCCTGCGCGACTCGTGCTCGCGATTGGCCTAGCTGTACTAGCCTGGCTGACGACCCCCGAGACCCTGGACGACCCCCTACTTCCAGGATTTCGGCGAGGGGGGACATCGTCCATGTCAGAGTCGGGAGCAGGGGAAGGGGGTCTTGGGTTCGCGTCCAAATCCCCGTCAGGACCTGGGTCATCCGTGTTTATTACTTTGACTTGTCCCTCATTGTAAGCATCGCGATATGCCCGTCTGGCTTCTGCAATGGTTGAATATCCCCTGTGTATTGCGCCGGGGACGCCAATGACGTTGGGCGCTGCTGTCCACCTATGAATATATGAAGAGCGACGCAATTGGCATTGTTTTCGTACGACAGATACTCCGAATCTCGTGATAGTCGCCATGGGGAGAGACTATTACTCACCAGTCGTGATATACGCCTGGAATCTTGCCCACTGTAACAACATACGCAGCCTTGTGTCTCGCCATGCTGTCATTCAACCGCGACCGGCCCACGGCTTCACTAAAATGAACCAAATATATGACTCTACTTGACTCACCAGCTTTCGTACACTGGAGTCTGTGATAGGGGAACAAAGATGATGTGTATGGATGAGGGGGAAGCAACGGTTACGCAGGGTGCTCCCACATATGTAAGTATGAGTCGTGCGCACTGCGCCCAGTTATGGTTATTTAGTCGGCACCGCCGCAGTGCTCGCGGTGTTTCTAAAGGAGATCAAACCTAATAACACACCAACTCGGCAACGCAGAACGAGGTTATACTTGTGCTGTACACGAGGCTCAAACAAAAGAGAAATTGACAAGTCTGAGGGAAACTACGAGGAGTACAGAACGAAGAGCAGCGTGCACTCCATAGCATCCGTCTTGCGTTGAAATCGCATGACATACCGGTAGACTCAGATTTGGTACTACGCAATGCACATGGGTACGACGTAGCATGAAATCATACTGCGCAGGTCATCGGAGGGGTGGAAGTGGATGAGAAGGGTGAGCAAACGCTGAATACGACGTCAATAGCAGCGGTGCATATCACACTGTCTTCACCGAGCCAAAGACCAGGACCACGGGATAAAGTTGCCCCATGGAGTAAAATCAGCAAAAACACCGAAGAAAAAGGTGATATGGGATAAAGAGCTATTAACCGAGCATATACAACCTACCACAAACGAGAGTCGAAAGTTAACATCCTACGTAAAAGTCCCTCAAAAGTGTATTACACCGCAATGTACCCCCCTCTACTTGAGCTACCTGGTCGGAAGGAGGAGCATAAATGGGAGACGACGTCCCGAAGCATGTATGGAACTTCGCGCCAGAAATCGCGATGTCTGTTCCCAGGTCAAGTGTGAATTTACGATCGTGTGAGTGGAAGAAGTGAACGTACGGTATTAGGTCTGCACCTGTTGCGCCGTATGTTGAGTAATTGTAGTATGCACCCAAAGCGAAATACGCCACGAATGCCAGGAATAGTCTGTACGATGTCAGAGTGCCGTACGGGGCCAGTATAGAGACACTTACAGTAAGAAGAAATAGCCTATGCCAGAACCCACCGTTTCCTCTTCAGGCGTCTTCTCGTCTCCGCCCGAAGGCTTGTCATCGCTAGGTGGACTGCCCATTCCACATGCTGCGGGTACACTCCATTCTACCTTGACCTCCTTTCCGTCATACGAGTCGAACTGAGGACTGGATTCCTCGGTTGAGCAAAGTAATTTGATTGTGAAGGATTGTGGCACGGGTTCGGGTGACGATAGACTTGGATATGACGAGCCGTGAAATGTGAGTTGTAGACCCTTGGGTGCTATTGAAGAGCACTGTAAGCGGCGAATACAAAGCGAAGAAGAGTATGTGAAAGAGCATGGAGTGACTCACATGACAACCGAGAAGATTCCACGCCGGTAGAGTTGCCTATTGGAATAACGGCTGTTATCCGGCTGTCTTCTTGTCCTTTCAGATTAGTTTTGGTCAGACACGCCCGCGTCCCTGACGGACACTGGCCGAAGCACAAGACTCAGAATGCATGTCCCACAGGCTTCGACATCATGTACCAAACACAGCAACATACCTGATCTTCGGACGCAATGCCGTCTTGTGGTTTTAGGTCCTCGCAGAGATTGAACCTCACTGCATCACGGTATCTCGTAGGCGGTGAGTCCCGCTCTCGAGAGGCCGTGTGTTCCCCCGAAGCTGAATGCAGGTCATATTTCAGCTCCCCAATACTGACGTAGCAGTCGAATGGTTTGTCCTCCTGTGCAGACGCGAGCATGCTGAGAAGGCACAGCAAACATGATATCGAAAGAAAGCGGGAGGATATCCTGGGATACATGGTCACGTAGCTCGAGAAGGCCGGGTATACTGAGAATAAAGTGGTGAGGGGCCTTGTCTGGCGCAAGCTGCAGTTGGTGGAGGTTGTGTTCTGCTTACAGCTCCGTAAAGAATCCAAAATGGGTTTTTAGCGCTGCTAATTAGCAGGTAGCGATCCTGGGAATTTTTAACTCGACCGAAATGCTATGTTATTAACACATTTTTAACCCGCACAAAAAATGTTTTTCAAACAAGTCAAACAACGTTTTTTGCCTCTAGAAATGCACGAGAATGTCCACTTTGTGTCTCTGACTGTCCATTTTAATGGAAATGACCGAGCCTGCCAGTAGGGGGAAGTTGGACCGGGTCAGTAATAACTTCACTTACTGCAACTTTGCAAGGCTGAAGGGACATGCCTTCATGTGCCCAGTCTTTTAGGCTGGCTAATGTTGATGTATCATTGGCCCCGCTATCATTGAAACTGAGGTGGCTAACTTGCTGTCAAGCCCTAAAATAATTTGCGATGGAATTCAAGTTGAACTTGCGCAGGAAGTCAGTTTCCTACCGGATAATACTTAGATTACTTCAAGTTGTTTTGTAGGAGTTGGGGACTATAAGAACATAGTAAGTATGGGACCTTATACGGTCTTGCCGGGCAAAGGCGCCCTCCCTCAGCTGTATGCAACCATATGCTAATAACTGGGCTTACCCCCACCCCCAATTCTTAACCCTGTTAATTAGCAGTTTTCAACCGGGCGTTC